CTCTCTCTCTCTCTATACTAACAAAGCACTGGTAATGGGACTGAAGATCCGGTGCCCACACGACGGTGTGTTTGAAAACCCAGTGGACAAACACTCATACGTGCGGTGCAGCGATGGCGAGGCGTATATACTTCAGTGCGCGAAAGGGGGCGACGACCAGAACAGATGGCAACTAGTGTTCAACGGCCGGGAGTGCGTCGACCCGTACGAGTGTCCCGAGATTGACGGCACCTATACGCAGATGAGCTACGGTCGGGTTTGGTATAAATGTCACGACAGTCTACCCCAACAGACCCGTTGTCCCGATGACCACGACTTTAATGGACACCATTGCGTGCGTAAACCCCGGGCCCAGTCGTTGAAACGCCTGCCCCACTATAAACTACTAATCAAAGATAGGAACCTGGTCAAATTTGAGTTTGACAACATGATTGTGACAGACACTTTTGATGAGATCACATGGCAGTGGCGCCGGGATATTGCGGCCAAATAATAATTTTTATTATAATTTTGATGATTAGATTTTATTAATGTTTTTATCAGTCGCTTATCGTATTGTTTTTCTTGTGGTTTCAATAGATTTTTATTGTAATTTGTATTCAAATTGTGTTTTTGATGTTGTTTTGCAAATATAATATGAATTAATATTGTTTGCAAATATTGATTGTTTGTTGAGTGATATGTATAGGAATTTATATTGTTTTTTATGAGAGTAAATGCAAACGAGATAAACGTATTTAATGTTAATTTAATTATATATTAATATCAATGTTTGTTTGCCTTAACCTAAATAATTATATCTCTGTTTTATGTATTGATAAAATTAGTGCAAATTAAATATTGTATTTTTTATTGGCATACTGTTAGTGTTAATAAAATACAATATCTTTATATTGTTAATTAAAATTTGTTAGAATTTATGCTAATATTAATTAAAATTTTTAAGTACATTTATATAGACTTTTATATGAAAAATTCAAATTTGTCATTATATCTTTATAAATATTTTAAATATTTATCTAAAGTTTATAATAAATTATATTAATTAATATCTAATTAATATTATTACAATTAATAATGCACTAAAATAAACCTGGGTAATCACCTTGGTATTTCTAATTTAACTTAAACCTACTGATAGTCAATATTAATTTTGTGAATACAATTGCATTACCCTTGAAATGATTAGAATATTTATTTTAATGCAAATGATTACCAAAAATTCATAAAGAATTTAAATCCTAGTGTACTTGTTGTCCAGTGAACTGAGCATGGTATTTAAGTCTATAAAATGAATTGCTCTGTAATATATTCAATGTAAATTATGTTAAAATTATTTAAATAATACTATAATGACATTTAAAATAAATTAAAAAACTAATTTAATCTCAAGTATTTGCACTTAATTTGAAAAATAAATTGTGATTTTTATTAATTATATAATCCCTTTGTTATTAAATCACTAGATAATTAGCACAAAACCTACCTCTAAATAGTATAACATTTAAAAATAACTAAATCGTTAGATGTTATGCAAATATCATAGTTGGTTTTATTAACTTATCACATGGCTTTCACTGTCTAATCAGTAAATTATAATTTTACTTTTTTCTGCTCCATATCTACATTTATACCGTATATATTGTTAGCATATATAAAGTCTTTGTCTTTGAATAACAAAAGCACTTTAAATATTCACATTACTTGTAATAATTATCATAATAATAATGCAACCAAAAAGCAAAATGATGATTTTGTTTTTGGCTACACTTTACACAACACTCGTACTGCACGCTCAGGTGGCGTACGGCGTGTGTCCGGTTGGCGAACGGACGGGCCATAAGTGTATTAGCGGGCGATTGTATAAGCGATTGTGTCCGCAAAACCAATACATGGCAACGGGTAAGTCATGCCAAGTGGACGACTACGCCCTCTCCGATCAGGCCGTCGACGACCCATTTTCGTGCCCATCGTCTGACGGCTGGTTCGCGCACCCGACCGACGCCAACAGGTTCTACCTGTGCAAAAACTACTCACCCAAACCTCACTCCTGCCATAACGACCAGTTTTTTAACGGCATCGAAGGCACGTGTGTACAGCGCGGCGCTCTCTTCATTTGTCCCAATCAGGACTATCGGCTCTACGTAGACCCTCACGACCGGAGCCGATACTACATATGCAACAACGGTGTGGCCACTCATCGGCCGTGCGATGCGGACCACGTGTTTGATGAGGGGCAAAGGGTGTGCGTCAACCGCTACGCTGTTGTCCAACCGGTTATTGTCCATCCGGTGAGTTGTCCCGCGTATGGCATACTGAACATAAGGGATCCGACAAATGGGGCCCGATATTACGTGTGCACAGACGGCGCCTATGAGTTGGTGACCTGTGGCAGGGATCAAGTGTTTGACGACGAGGCCCAGGACTGTCGCAGTCTGCACACCCACGGCCACCAACGTTGGCCGCCCCACCCGTGGCGTACGGTTCGGGGCGAGTGTAAGATCGAGTACATACATAACGGCCACCCGGCCTACACTATTGTGGACGTCTGGGACGACGAGGCCTACAGATGGGTGCGCACAGAGATTCCCGGCCAAAACAATCGCGGAGTGTATCTAAGGGGACGGCCGTCGCATTTGCCGGGTCTGCCGGAACCGGTCGTGCATTCCGTCCGTCGCAGAAATAATAATTACTACCGGGTGTAATTTATTAATTATAACATGTTTGTTTTATAATTTAATAAACAGTAATATTTCAAAATGTTATGTAAAATTTTTTATGTTAAACAAAATAACTATTTTTCTGGTGATAAAAATAAAAGTTTACTTAATGATAGCCTATCATTGATAGATTATAGAAGATTTTAGACTAAAAAAGTGTGCAAGTGTATAAATAACGAGTGTGGGTTAGTGATTTATTGCCATACATTTATACTGTTATTTAAACAATTTAATGAGCGTTTTATAATGAATGTAATGATAAAATTGTAAAATTTAGTTTATCTCCTACAGAGGGGTCAAATCTATATAGAATTCGTATCCCCACACCCCTTTATTGCCCCTACGCTGATGGTTCGCTGTCAAACACTGTACAGTACAAACTGTAAACAACAGTCATTTACAAAGGTTTATATAATTAAAGCAATAAATGAATAAATGTCAATCAAATTTGCCTATCTAGTTTAAAACTACATTTAATCTATAATTAATAAATGTTAAAACACAATTTAAAACATATAAATGATTTAGTAATATTTAATGTATTGTGTGCAGAGTGTGTACTGTATTATGTTTGACAGCGAAACATCAGCGTAGGGGCGATAGAGGAGTGTAGGGATACGAATTCTATATAGACTTAACCTCTCTGTATTATAGTTGTATTTGTGTTATATTTTAACTTTAGTATAAAATCCAACACTTGTTGTGTTTAGATTATGGTTAATTAATGATAAAATCGAAACATTGATATATTTGAAGCAGTTTTGTGTTAAATATTTAATAAATTTGAAAATACAGTGATTCGTGAACAGAGGAGGGCCTGTATTGATGACATTGAGCTGTTTGAAAATATGAAATATTTCTATATCCAAGTATAAGATTTAAGTAAAGATTTATATATTTACATTTATAAGATTTATATATTTAAGATACATTATGGAAGAAAATATCTAAAATTCAATGCGTGTTGCATT